TAATATTAACCCCCAAGATGGTGTGAATGAAGGTGAAAATGAGAGTAGAGATAAGAGAAGATTATACTTAAAAAACGCAGGACTACCAAGGGTAGATGAAGACCTATTGAAATCCCTGGAAGTAGAAATCACGCAGGAGGAAATAAAAATAGCATTAAAAAATACTAAGGCAGGGAAAAGTCCTGGTCCAGACGGATATACCGTGAGATATTATAAAAAATATAGTGATTTGCTAATACCTAAATTGAAAGAATATATGAACGCCTTGGGTGGAGAAATGGAGATTAGACAGGAATCCCTACAAGCCCATGTAACACTTATACATAAGGAAGGGAAGGACGCTACTCAATGTTCCAGCTATAGACCAATTGCACTGCTAAATATAGATACGAAGTTATACGCAAAGGTCCTAGCAAATAGAATGAAAGATTTAATGCCAGAATGGATCCACGGAGATCAAGTGGGCTTTGTATCGGGGAGAGAGAGGGTAGAGATAACGGAATTAGAACTATGCTATTGATACAGAAATCTAAGAAGGGGAAAACCCCAATAGTGGTGCTCTCGATTGATGCTGAAAAGGCCTTCGATAGAGTAAACTGGAGCTTAATGATGGATACCCTAGAGATCATGGGAGTAGGTGGTAGAATGAGGGAGGGGGATAGGAAAGCTATATAGAGCACCCTCTGCGGTTATCTTGGTTAATGGTAAAAAATCTGACCCCATAGAGATGTCAAATGGGACAAGACAGGGATGACCATTGTCCCCACTGTTATATGTGTTATCATTGGAACATAAAGTGGCAGCCTTTGCAGACGACTTGTTGTTTTATGTGGGAAATCCTAGGATAACATTACCGAACTTAATAAAAAGCCTAAAGGAATACGGGAAATTATCAAATCTAAAAATCAACCCAACAAAAACAGATCTTAAATGTAAATCTTCCGAATAGTGAGAAAGATAAGATACAAAAAGAATTCCCTTTTATATGGAGATATAAAGAGATAAAATATTTAGGGATTAAACTTACTGCTTCATATACAAAACTGTATAAATTAAATTATATTGCTCTTCTAAATGAGATCAAAGAAGAACTGAAGAAATTGGGAGGAGGAAATCTCTCTTGGTTAGGACGTATAAATCTGATAAAAATGATAATTGTACCCAAAGTCCTGTATAAATTTCAGATGATCCCAATTAGACTCCCAGAGGCCTTTTTTAAAGTAATTAAAAAGATGATAACAAGATTTATATGGAAAAATAAAAAATCCAGAATATCGTATGACTTGATGACTAGGGGTAAAGAGAGAGGGGGATTGGGAGTGCCAGACCTCAAGAGATATTATAATGCTGTAGTTCTAACAAGAATTTATGATTGGACTCACAATGTTGAGGGGAAAAGATGGGTTAAGATAGAGGAAGAATTGAGTGGAGTGGATTTGAGCAGAAGTATATGGGCACCTACACAATATAGAGGTTTAAGAGACACCACGAGTGTATATACACTGAATGTTTTAAAGGTTTGGGATAATTTACATAAATATATGAAATATATGAAATGGGATTTCAATTCACAATTAATGTCACTAAGGAATACGGAGTATTTTCCACCAGGTATAGAAGGGAGTGTGGGAAAATGGTTTAAAAAAGAAGATATACAACTGAGGGATATTATGGATGGACAGAAATTGAAAACACTGAAGGATTTAAAGAAAGGTGGAGGGGAACTTTTTATTAAGATTGATGAGTGGAAATATCACCAATTAAAAACACTTTGTAGAAGGGCTCCCGAAACCTATGAGAGGAAAAAAGGAGTGGAATATGTTTGAGAGGTTGTTGGAATCACGGGGAGATGGGAAACGGAGTACGGCAAAAATTTATAAGATTCTCACTGAGTTAGGCACGGAAGTAAAACCAAGTTATATAGATAAATGGGAAAAAGATTTGGGGATAGAAATAGATGAGGATAAACAGAGGAAAATATATAGACTTACACATGAAAATGTCAGTATGAGAGAGGTGGAGGTGAATTATAAATCTTTGGTAAGATGGCACATTACACCGAGTGTTGAACATAAAATAGATGTAGAAAGAACACAAGAGTGCTGGCGGGGGTGTGGAGGGATTGGTACGTGGTTTCAGATATGGTGGGAGTGTCCAAAGATCCAAAGGTACTGGGAGACAATGGTCAACTTAATAAGTAAAATTTCAGGGATAAAGATAGGCCTAGATCCAGAATCGTGCCTGTTACACAGTACAGAGATACCAGTGAGTAAATACAAAGACTTGGGTATATGGTACTATGTGAATGCTGCAAAGGGATTAATACGTAAATTCTGGCATAATTTAGAGGTGCCGACAGAAAGGGACTGGGTTGAGAGAGTAAATCAGATTAGTAAAATGGAGAAATTGTATTATATCCAAGAAGATAAGATGGAGATTTATAATAGGAGATGGAGGCAATGGGAAGATTTTGTAGATAAAATGAATACATGTGAAGCAGTGGGATGTGATAAGTGAAGTTTCTTTTTGAAGTTTTAGGAAAGGATTTAAGAGAGAAAGGGAGAGTGAGAGGGGGGCGGGAAGAGGGAGGGAATAGGGGTAGAGGGAAGGGAAACAAAAAGGGGGAAAAAGAAGGAGATAAGAATTTTATATGATATATGAGATTGTGGAAGAAATTTTATATTCTTCTTTTCTTTCTCTCTTTTTATATGTATTTATAATTATGAAAAATCAATAAATATTTGTATTTCAAAAAAAAAAAAAAAAAAAAAAAACACTTACCCTCCTGAGGATTTACTCCCCTTACTGACCAGGCCATTTTTTGTGCATTACAGCATTGCCTTATTTAACTGACAATTGCGCGGTCATGCAGTGCTAGATCCAAATGAAATGTACATCCTCCCCCCGCAAATAGAGTTTTCTTTCGGTGGTATTTGACCACCTGTGCATTTTTTATTTTTTGCGCTATAAGAAAAGATCAACGAGTTTGAAAAAAAAAAATATATTTGACTTTTTGCTTTTAAACATATCCTGTAAACAAAATGCAAAATCGAATTTCGTCCTAAAGTTTTCATTATAGCGTTTACAAACAGCCATATACATGTATTCTGCTACATGTCTTTGCTAAATAAAAATCCCAATACAGTGATCATGATAAAAAATTAATTAGTTTACATGAACATTATAGGGTTAATTGTGTGTGTTTACTGTAAGACACAGCAGTATACATATACTGGAATGTGGTTTTTTTTTTTAACTAGTAATGGAGGGGACAATCAGCAATTTATTTTCTTGGGAGGGTGCATGTGATCAACACAGGGCTAATCAGCACTGTCCAGACAGAGGTCAGGGGTTCTGCATCCTCCTAGAGTAGAAAGAAAACTTCTCCTACAAGCTTTAACATGTGCTCTGCTAAATACTGATAGAAATCACAAGACTGCTTTAACTGCTGGTGAGAAAAGGTATTTATCAGTTTATATTTACAAAATGTCCTTGTTCTGTGTACTGTGGGAGACCAGATATAGTGAATGCAGGGTCCGGGTTTAGTAACACGTTAATTGAACAAGCTGAAGTTAGAAGCTGATTGGCTACCGTAAACAACTATATTAGATTCTGAGTGTACCAGTTTTAGTAAATCTATCCCTATGGCTCCTCTGTGCCCCCCCCCCCCCCAAAACCTTCATTTCTACTGAGGAGGCTGGCTTATCCAGGAGCCCTTTATTGCCCTTTTTTATTGCCTTTTTAAGCCTGCTGGTCATGGCCATAGTTCAAAGGTCACACAGGCCATGCTTTCAATAGACACAGGCCCTTATTACTATCAGGGAGCAGACAGACAATATAGACCATTGTATATATGGGAGCTCTTTTACTTTCCAATACATTTGTATTTCTGTCCAACCAGTCCTGAGATTTACAAAGCCCTGCCCCAGGTCTGGAAATATGCATACTGTATGCATTTTTCTGCAGCAGACCAGGGCTCACTTGGAAAGCTGTGTGTACTGTCTCTTCCTACGCACCGCAGCTGGGCTGCAGTCTATAGAACTAAATGAATTGTAATTTTGACGTTTCAATAAAGTTGAAGGGAATAAAAAAGGTATACAGTATGATGTGCTTACATGCACCTTTGTACAGGAGGTCCAGGTTTTACCATGAGACCCAGGGAGAACAAGGTCTCTGCTGGAAGAAAATTTCACTGACTGGCCCTTTGTGAATTGTAGGCTACTTTCACACTGATCCGCCGCAAAAACACAGCAAAAACGCATAGGCGGTTTTGCTTCGCTTTCTGAGCACGTGACTTAAAAACTGTACAAAAAAAAAATCACTTCTCAGGGCTTTTTTGAGGTGCTTTTTATGCATTTTTCAGGCGTTTTCTATTGATTCCAATGGGAAGAGGCATTTTTGGGGCATTTGTTTAACTCCCCAAAGATGCTGCAAGCGGGAGTTTTTACACCACACCGCAAGTGCAATGTCTCAGTGTGAAAACATACATGGATATACATTCACATACATAGGGAAGCGTTTTTCTTGAGCTTTCCAGGCACTTATTTTTTTTAAACGCAAAAACGCTTCAAAAAACTCCTCAGTGTGAAAGTAGTCTTAATTCAATATCCCTGACCTATCATAAAAACATTTTTTTAAGATTTGTCTGATGGGACGCACTATGCAGAATAATGATGTCAGGTTCAATTTATCTGATGTTGATGGGCAACTTGCTAAATAAGGTTTCACTAAATGTTATCTAGTTTATGTCCTTTTGTTCTGCAGATGATACTTAAGTAACATAATTCCGGAAGTGACATCTGAAATAATTTCTTGGTACATAACAATATGCAAATGATCTGATGTTTTAGTTTAAAAACACAGAAGGTTGTACAGATCTATTCTGTTGAGGGGTTATAATTCTACTGTGATGGACCTACATATATTTTATGTGATCTTTCTGTATATTTCTGGTAAGTTGGTGAATAGGCAAACATAAAAACAGTTACAATAGTATTACAATGTGTTTTTTATTCTTACAAACTTTTTTTTCCCTAAAAGGAACATCGGCATCCATTGTATTGACTCAGAAAAATGCAGAAACTGCTCAAGTTGGAAAATCCATTGATTTAAGTTGTGAAGTCAGTGGTTATAATATAAACGATCTCCACATGGATTGGATCAGACAAGCCTCTGGAGGAAACCTGGTTTGGATCGCAGCATTTAGAACTGGACATGGTACTTTTATTGCTGATAGTTTCAAGGGCCGAGTCACTCCATACACAAGTGGATCCACTGCCCTGCTGAAGATTGACAGACTGACCGATTCAGACACTGCAAAGTATTATTGTGCAAGAGAACACAGTGAGGAAATTCTGGTGCAGCTCTGGTAGAAAACTACAAAGGACAAGGTTCAGCCACTATTTTTTGGAATATGGAAATTTGGCACATAGGCCACATGCATTTTATAAATATTAACATGATATAGTGCTGCCATTTTGTTAGATCATGTCTGAATTCCTTGGACAAAAAAGTAGTTAATCCAAAAAAACAATATTATTGCAAACACTAATTTTGTCTACATCACAGATGGGCATAAAGGTTCACTTAAAAGTTAATTCCACTTTTATGGGGGGAAAAAAATAGCAAGTAAAAAATAATAATATTGTATATACAATTGAGACACAAGTCATATTGTAATTGAATGTTATTAAAAATTACCGTTCCTCTTCAATCTGCAGTGTTGTAAGAAAATGTGCCTTCCATGTTATATGCTTTCATTCACTGTTAGTGTCTCTCTGAATTAAAAAATGATCTGATATCATTGTTCTAATTTTGAACTATGAAACAGGATTGTCAGTTAGGCCAAAAGCCAGCATCCTGTTTCCCATTGTTAACCACGTGCCCTCCTGAGGATTTACCCGCCTTCCTGACCAGGCCATTTTTTGTACGTCACGGCGCTGCCTTATTTTAACTGACAATTGCGTAGTCATGCAACGCTGCACCCAAATGAAATTTACATCCTTTTTTCCCCTTGCAAATAGAGCTTTCTTTCGGTGGTATTTGATCACCTGTGCATTTTTTATTTTTTGTGCTATAAAAAAAGATCAACAAAATTGAGAAAAAAACCTATATTTTTGACATTTTGCTATTAAACATATCCAGTAAAAAAAATTCAAAAATCGAATTTCATCATACAATTAGGCCAAAATGTATTCTGCTACATGTCTTTGCTAACAAAAATCCCAATACATGTAAATTAACCAGTTTACGTGAACGTTATAGCATTTACAAATGGCATTATATATACTGGAATTTTTTTTTTTAAACTAGTAATGGGGACAATCAGCAACTTATAGCAGGACTGTGGAAGCATTCTGACACTGGGGGGAACTGACTTGGTGTCACTGACATCCCCAGTGACACCAATACAGTGGTCAGTGCTGATAAAAAGCACTGACACTGTACTAATGACACTGGGAAGGAAAGGGTTAACATGTAGGGCAATCAAAGGGTTAATTGTGTGCTGTTTTACTGTGTGTCGTGTGTGCGTGCTTCACTGTAAGCACACTTTGCATGGCTGTAGCAGTATACCTGCTATAGGGCAGCGGGAATCTGGTTGAAAACACCTTGAGGACTTGTTCACCAAAACAATGGAGAGAGTTTAACCAATTGCCCTCCAGAGGATTTACTCCCCTTAATGACCAGGCCTGTTTTTGCTACTTGGCACTGCACTAATTCAACCTTAATTTCTACTGAGGAGGCTGGCTTATCCAGGAGCCCTTTATTGCCTTTTTTTATTCCCTTTTTAAGCCTGCTGGTCATGGCCATAGTTCAAAGGTCACAAAGGCCATGATTTCAATAGACACAGGCCATTATTAATATCAGGGTGCAGACATAGACAATATAGACCATTGTACAGTATATACGGGAGCTCTTTTACTTTCCAATACATTTGTATTTCTGTCCAACCAGTCCTGAGATTTACAAAGCCCTGCCTTGTGTGGAAATATGCATACTGTATGCATTTTTCTTCAGCAGACCAGGTCTCACCTGGAAAGCTGTGTTTACTGTTTTTCTACACACCGCAGCTGGGCTGTAGTATATAGAACTAAATGAATTGTAATATTGACATTTCAATAAAGTTGATGGGAATAAAAAATGTATACAGTATGATGTGCTTACATGCACCTTGCACAGCCACTTCCTGGACCTGACGCTCACATGTGCCTGAAAAGAAAAACCAGGAGGTCCAGGTTTTACCATGAGACCCAGGGAGAATAAGCCCTCTGCTGGAAGAAAATTTCACTGAATTGTAGGCTACTTTCACACTGATCTGCTGCAAAACAAAGCCAAAATGCATAGGCGTTTTTAACGCGGTTTCGCTGCGCTTTCTGAGCATGTGATTTTAAAACTGTACCAAAAACACTTCTCAGAGGTTTTTTCAAGGCTCTTTTCAGGCATTTTTGAGGCGCTTTTCTGACATTTTCCATCGATTCCAATGGGAAGGGGCATTTTTTTAACTCCCCAAAGATGCTGCAAGTAGGAGTTTTTACACTGCATCGCAAGTGCAATGCCTCAGTGTGAAAACATACATGGATATACATTCACATACATAGGGAAGCATTTTTCTTGAGATTTTCAGGCACTTTTTTTGGTGCAAAAATGCTTCAAAAACTCCTCAGTGTGAAAGTAGCCTTAATTCAATATCCCTGACCTATAACATTTTATTAAGATTTGTCTGATGGGGTGCACTATGCACAATAATGATGTCAGGTTCCAATTTTGTGATGTTAATGGGCAACTTGCTAAATAAGGTTTCCCTAAATGTGGTCTAGTTTATGTCCTTTTGTTCTGTAGATTATTATTATTATTATAATACAGGATTTATATAGCGCCAACAGTTTCCTCAGCGCTTTACAATAGAACGGGAGACAGTACAGCAACGATAGAGTTCAATACAAGAGGGGTAGGAGGGCCCTGCTCCTTGGAGCGTACAATCTAGGACAGGGGTGGGCAAACTTTTTGACTTGAGGGCCGCAATGGGTTCATATATTGGACCCGGGGGCCGGACCAAGAGTAGATGAATGATGTGTATGTGTCATCCATAGTAAGCATAGTAATTAATCCCCCATATAGTAATTCACCCCCCATAGTAATTCATCCCCCATATAGTAATTCATCCCCCATAGTAATTCATCCCCCGTATAGTAATTCATCCCCCATATAGTAATTCATCCCCCATAGTAATTCATCCCCCATATAGTAATTCATCCCCCATAGTAATTCATCCCCCATAGTAATTCATCCCCCATATAGTAATTCATTCCCCATATTAAGTCCCCAAGTCCCCCCTGTGTCAATTCACTTACCTTTGCTCCGCGCGTTTCCTCTCGCCGTGTTCCTGCGCCGTTCCAGTGCAGCATGAAAATCTGTCTCCTATTAGGATCTGTCCCCCTCGATGTATCTGCGCATGTGCCAGTTTCAGGCATTAGCAGCCGATCGGCGATCTCCGGCACATGCGTAGATACGTCGAGGGGGACAGATCCTCATAGGAGACAGATTTGCATGCTACACCGGTCTTCAGGGCGGACTGTGAGAGGAGCCTAGCTCCGCGGGTCGGATTAAAAGGTCCGCCGGGCCGTATACGGCCCACGGGCCGTAGTTTGCCCATTGCTAATCTAGGAGATACTTAAGTAACATAATTCCGGAAGTGACATCTGAAATAATTTCTTGGTATATAATAATATGCAAATGAGCTGATGTTTTAGTTTAAAAAACACAGAAGGTTGTACACATCTATTCTGTTGTTTCCAGACAAAGGTTAAAAATCGGAGGGGTTATAATTCTACTGTGATGGACCTACATATATTTTATGTGATCTTTCTGTATATTTCTGGTGAGTTGGTGAATAGGCAAACATAAAAACAGTTACAATAGTATTACAATGTGTTTTTTTTATTCTTACAAACTATTTTTTTCCATAAAGGAACATCGGCATCCATTGTGTTCACTCAGAAAAATGCAGAAACTGCTCAAGTCGGAAAATCCATTGATTTAAGTTGTGAAGTCAGTGGTTATAATATAAACAATCACCACATGCACTGGATCAGACAAGCCTCTGGAGGAAACCTGGTTTGGATCTCAGCATTTAGAACTGGACATGGTACTCTTATTGCTGATAGTGTCAAGGGCCGAGTCACTCCATCCACAAGTGGATCCACTGCCCTGCTGAAGATTGACAGACTGACCGAGTCAGACACTGCAAAGTATTATTGTGCAAGACAACACAGTGAGGAAGTTCTGATGCAGCTCTGGTAGAAAACTACAAAGGACAAGGTTCATCCAGTATTTTTTGGAATATGGAAATTTGGCGCATAAGCCACATGCATTTTATAAATATTATTAACATGATATAGTGCTGCCATTTTTTAGATCATGTCTGAATTTCTTGGGCAAAAAAGTAGCTAATACGAAAAAACAATATTATTGCAAACGTATTTTGGCTACATCACAGATGGGCATAAAGGTTCACTTAAAAGGTAATTCCACTTTTATGGGGAAAAAATAGCAAGTAAAAAAAAATTATAATATTGTATATATAATTGAGACACAAGTCATATTGTAATTGAATGTTATTAAAAATGACCGTTCCTTTTCAGTCTGCAGTGTTGTAATAAATGTGCCTTCCATGTTATATGCTTTCATTCAATGTTAGTGTCTCTCTGAATTAAAAAATGATCTGATATATCATTGCTCTAATTTTGAACTATGAAACAGGATTGTCTATTAGGCCAAAAGCCAGCATCCTGTGAAATGTTCCCCAGTAAGTGTTAACCACTTACCCTCCTGAGGATTTACCCCCCTTCCTGACCAGGCCATATTTGTGCATTATGGCGCTGCCTTATTTTAACTGACTATTGCGCGGTCATGCAACGCTAGACCCAAATGAAATGTACATCCTTTTCCCCCCGCAAATAGAGTTTTCTTTCAGTGGTATTTGATCACCTGGGCATTTTTTTTTTTTTGCGCTATAAAAAAAAAAATCAACAAGTTTGAAAAAAAAAAACAATATATTTGACTTTTTGCTATTAAACATATCCTGTAAAAAAATGCAAAAATCGAATTTTGTCAAAAATTTAGACCAACATGTATTCTGCTACATGTCTTTACTAAAAAAAAATCCCAATACATGTAAATTAATTAGTTTACATGAACATTATAGCGTTTACAAATGGCAGTATATATACTGG